GGGATGAAAAGAGGGGGGGCAAAAGGGTTAAGGTTTTCACTTTGTCATTTCGCAGAGCTAAAAGTGAGCAACTTGCAAGAAAACTAATTATATATTGAAAATCTGCATAAAAAGTTCCATAAACAGCTCAAGTTCCATTGCTATAGGGTGAATACTAAAAACAAGTATCTTCGAGTAGCATCTCCCCTTAAGCGAGAGGTCGTTTTAAGTGGGGCCGTTATATGTGGGCTCAACTGTATTGGTAATTTGTGATAATTTTGTTTAAAATTTCATTGATAAAAGCCAAATGAAAGACACTAAATCCAGAGTTATGCTAAAAAAACCAGGTATATATATATATATATATATATATATATATATATATATATATACATATATTAATTAAGTGTGAATACACTTTATAAGCGACCCCAAACCATCCACCGCCGTCGGCGGCGTCCGCATTCTTCTCTCTCTCTCTCTCTCTCTCTATATATATATATATATATCCGCGTCAGTAACGCGCCTTATATCCAGATGATAGCGTTGCCTCCGGGACATCCATCGCACGACCCGCTCTCGACGGGAGACTGAGAGAGAAGGCGGGCGCACGAGAGAGAGGGGTGCGCACGCAGCTGCAGCGAGCGAGGAGAGCGGAGGAGCGACACCGATATCAGCGTCGCGTCCGTGGCTTATTCGGTAGAGCGTCGCGCTGCGGCCCGCCAAGTCCTCTTTCTTTTAAAGATGGAGAGAAGACTGCGGACGCCGCCGACGGCGGTGGATGATTTGGGGTGGCTGATAAAGTATATTCACACTTAAAATTTTCAGCACGGAAAATATTAAAAAGTGTAGAACACCCACCCAGGAATCATCCTAGTGAATTTCACAGAGCTAGCACATTCAACAAATTCATCAAAGCCTGACTAAGAAACCCATGTGGACTACGCTGATAAATGATTCAGTGATGCCACTTAGGAACCACAATTTGGAGCAATTTTTGAAGCACGAGAAACTAGAATTTGGAGCATTTTAGAGCACCAAAAAGTCAATTTTGGAGCAGTTTGGAGCAACCGGTATCAGTTTTCAAGGTTGTCCAATACGGCGAGAAATGCATATGAATGAAGAACATACATGTACTCATGAAGTCAGACATTTGTTTCACATATTTTGAAGTTTTTCATTTATGCTTGCCAGCATTTGCATGTTTTGAGTGAGGTTTGTATTTGCCTCAGCTAGGAGCACTTGGCCACTTTCAATTTCTTCCATATCATTGCCAGCGAGGCCTTTCTTGATCAGTCCTTGTGCACGCTGGAGCATTGCTTTTGACGACTCTAGACGCCTTTCTACACAATGTTTTTCTTCGTCGAGCTTGGCCCTTTTCTCATGAAGTGAACTGCTGGCCACAGGTGCCTTTCTTTTTGACTTTCCATGTCATTGGCCTCCCGTTGAAGACGTTCCGTATACGTCTTGTGCGAATGCTTCACAGAATTAACGAGGTCCCTCGTAACTAGCACTTTAAAGGGTCACTGTCAAAGCGCTTCACATAGCTCCTGACATGCCAAATGCCGTTCAGAGCCACAATGCCTAAATTAGCTCGACTGTCCACGATGCGCTTATTCTCGCTAAACCCACGTTCGCAGTCGGCGTTTCCATGTGGAAGGGACAACATGGCTCGTACAAAGACTGACACGAGAGGGTACTTTCCTGAAGCTAACAGTGAAGCCCGATAGCCATCGATGCTGGGGGCAGGGAGATGAGCACCTGCACTTATAGGCTGGCTGTGAAGGCAATGCCACTGGATCTACAAGTGATGTCACCTGCTCACCCTTTATCATGTGGGGCACGCTTGCAGCCACGTACTTGATAGACTGAACTGTCTCTTCCACAGGTGAAGAGTATCTAGGATCGAAAAAGCGCAAGTGGTAGAGCAGTTTGTTATCCGGAGGAAGCCGCTTGATTAGGTGTCTCGCAGTAGAAATGTAAAATGCCTGTGCACTTGTCCTGAAGCTCTTCTTCTCTTGGAGATCCCAGTTACGTATTTCTTTTTCAGTGTCGGATCCGATTTCCAGAACTTGCTTCAGCCCTTCTGGTGACCCGACATCAAGTTGTTTCAACTCACGGCCAGACAAGTTGCAGTAGGCCTCATGCCTCATAAAGCGGCTCAGCAGCTTTTTTTACTAGCCCAATACACTCCGAGTGTACAATGTGAACAAGGGGCTCTTCTTTTTGGAAAACGGTTTGAAATTCAGAGAAGAGCTCTGCAGAGTTGCGTAAGAACAGCATCTTGGTGAAAATCGTCTTATCTGAAAGTGCAGATGCTAGTCGTTTCTGCAGTACAGCGCTTGTTGGTCTGGCGCCGGCTTCAGTTTGAAAAAACGCTTTCAACACTTCGAACTGCTGGAACACTCTTTTAAGGCTAGACTGAAATGTAAGCCACCTGCGACTGACATGCCAAAGAAAGACGTGCTCGGGGATCCCAAGGCCTTTCTGTTTCTCTGAAAGCTGTGATGAGTGAACGGCATGCTTAAAAGAGTAATAAATGTCCATCACTAGCAGCTCCACATCATATCCAAATGAATTCAGTCCAGTGCCAAATGCATTATGTACTTTGTGAAGATTACACTTCCGATGTCTAGAAGGTTGCGGTTGAGCATCTCCCTCAGTTTCTTCTTCACCCTTTTCATGGTGTTTGGGCCATCACTGAAGAAGCACAGCAGCTTCTCCTTTGGTAGCTCTGTCAGGCCTTTTTCAATGCAGTCCAACAAGATACTTGCTGTTGCATGACCAAGGTTAAATGACTATAGGTGTTGAAAAACAACTTTTTGTTGTGTTTTAGAGAAATATCGCACAAGGATGTCCAGTTGTTGAACATGTTGGTCTGCTTTGGGCGTTTCATCAACTTCAATCGAATAGTACACATCTGGCCAGCAAAGCTCCTCTATCACTTTTTTTCTGAACAGCGGACCCAGTCCATCAGAGATGATGTAGGACGCTTTAGTCCTGCCGCAAGAGAACTTTTCAGCAATTTTGGAATCTGAAAACATCACAGGGAACATCCTGGATGCAGTATCTCCAAATGAAAATGGCACTCCTTTCACAGTTATGGACATAGCGAACAAAGCCTCCGCCTGGGTCACACTGTCGCTTAGGGTAGGGGTTGCTGCTCCTCCAGAGAAAGTCAAAGTTGGTTGGGCCACTTTTGGCTTCACAAACTTTCCTTCTGCATCACAGAACTTCATCCTTGACTTCAGGTGCATTTTCGAAGAAGCATGTCTCCTGACAGCTAATGTGCCATGCTGTGCGCACGAAATGATACATTTTGCTTCCCAACTTTGTGGACCACCTCGGCACCATGTCTCTATGCTGTCCCCATTGCTGTCAACATCTTCCAGCACCGGTGGATTAAAGCTGGTAGTCCGAGCTGTGGAAAAGAGAGAAAATATGGAAGATTAAAACACAAATCCGACGGCGAAATGAGAAATGCTCACTTAAAAAATTAAGGCCCTGTCATTCGCACCATGCTCAAATCTAGGTCCGGCACGAGCCAATCATGTAACAACAGTACAGGCCCCCCACGTGTCAGCCAGCCAAAATCTAACAGCATTTATCAAGCACAGACGGCCGGCTTGTCGGCGCATTATCACGGCGCGGAGAAGGTGAAACTATAGCGACAATTGCCACATGCGGGCGAAGTTGCCGTCACCACGAGCACAGCGTGAGCGCGTGCTATCTCTGCTCTGCGCAACAATGATGCGCAACTCCACAGATAGACTTGCTACAAAATGTTTATCCTTACGCTAACCTGCCTGCTCAAGGTCAGTCATGCAAGCCTAGAATGCAACTACGCGTGTCATCGGGCATATCGCATTGCTGCTCAATGCTTCTGAATACAATTAGAACATAAATGCGTCACTTCCACGAAAGCAGCCTTTTCCCATGAAACCGGCCTTTTAGTGTTAATGACGGCCGCAAAAATATTAGCGGCAGTCGCTAGAGCATTAATTTAGGAATATCTGTGCCATACAATTGCACCTTTTCACAGATAAGATCCGGATCAAAATCTGAAAGCGAAAAAGGCTTTACCGTTTTTAGCTCGCAAATAGACGGTGCTTTTTGCGCACTGCGGTTCAAGCAGTACCAACTTCGCCACGCTCACATGCCACACTTAAGAGAAAATGTCAATAACAGAAACTTACTTACCTTTCTTCATCGTATCATATCCCACCGCTGACGACACAAGCACGTAGTAGTAATGAAGAGTCGTCCAACAGTCGTTGGTGTTGGCGAGCCGAGGCAGCAGCATTCAATTCCCCAGTGCACAGCCCACTTCACTTCCGGAGTTACAGCAGCACTATCTTCGCTATCACTCAATCCGTACTGTGCATGTTGCCGCTAGATGTCCTCCGCTGCACTTCTCATAGTTTTATCGTTGCCATGGAGGAATGCGTACCCTCAGACCCCGTTGTAGGTTGTGGTGGCGGCGCTGGCTGACACCACCAAGGCCCGCGAGAGCCATTCGACGCATTTTGGCGCAATTTTCGAGATTTTTATCAGAATTGCGCAAGCATTCTCGTTTGTATCAGTTTGGCGCATTTGGCGCAGGAATGGAATCACTGATGATTGTAACTTGGGAACCAGTGAACATGAATGCATAAAATTTTGCGATTAGTCAAATGGTTTTGCTATTAGCTGTACCGTGAAATTTTCATTAGGATATCTCACCAAACGAAAAAGCTGCCCTTCAAAGGTAGCCTCCCCCTTAATGTAAAATTTCCCATCGGTGACAAGAAAGGCAGTTAGAAGAACAATGTAAAAGGCACGGTAACTAGAATTAATTTAACAAGTAGTACGTCCTTTTCAGAAATCTGAAAGTTTTGTATGCAGCCATAGGTGTTTGTGATATTAGTTTGCGAGGGCAGGTAAGATATTTGTGAAGCAGTAAGAAGATGGATTGATCACCAAGCAGTTGTGTCGATCATTATGAAAGTTTGCAAATGGCATGTGACTGTGAGGAGGTGTACCTGACGGGACCAGGAGGGCCTGAGGGTCTCGTACTGTGCCAGGGATCCACAGTTGAATGCCGACAGCAGCTGCACCACCCACTGGCGGTCAGTGCATTGCAGGCACTCCAGAATGGGGTGTGCCAGCTGCAAAATAGACAGGCATCCTTATAGTAGAAGTACTTTACACAGGGGGGCACACATAGGCTAGCCTTTGGGGCGAGACACAGTGATTTTGACAAATTTATCAGTGCAAAAAAAGACGGAACTTTTAGAGAAGAAACACATACACACGGCGCTGTTGTTGAGAGGAGAAGAAAAAAGGACATCCCCTGAACTACGAGTAATTGACCTTTTTAGATGCCACCAATGAAGAATTCTCAGTAAAAATGTATCATATGAGTATGTTATTTCAAGGCACTGAACAGTCTATCGCAATAAGAATAGTGTCACGATACGTTCATCTATGCATGTCATCATAACTGCACTCTTTATCAGAGACGCGTATATAAGTAGGGTAACTACATATGCACTATCTTATCAACTCTCACTGGCACACTGGGTTCTCTTACATCAGTGCATCTGATAAAGGGGGTTCAATTTTAATCATAAATAAGCTGTACCTATTAGTCATTCATGCTCTGTTTCGGCATAAGTAGAATGAAATCCCAGGCTAGAAATAGAGTGTAAATCATATTTGGTTATATCAGTTTTGAGCAAACAAAACTATACTTTCTCCTGGCTCACAGGAATTTCAAACGTGGTAGTGCCTTGAGCAATACTTTCTCCGTGGCTCACAGGAATTTCAAACGCGGTAAAGCCTTCAGCAAAGTGACCATACGCAACAGCACATATCAAGTTAAAGGAAGGAAAACTTTTTATGCAGGTGATTTGGTTCATCCAAAGCTACATTGTGCTCTTTCTTAGGCCCCAGTTGATACAAATAGAGCATCAAAGAGTTATTGACAATGAGCACTTGCAGCACGGACACAAAAGACACAGACTTCCAACTGAATTTATCGGATAAGCACAAAGACAAAGTTGTTACACATGCGCTCATGATAACTACTCGAACACACAATGACCAATGACCGAACAGCAACTGCATTTCTTTGTCAGATATGTACAAACCACTTATGCAGTTGATGCCCGATTTCCTAATGTGGCCTCTACTACTACTTCTCCTTCCGTTTTTTGCACTCTGCATAGCGTGGCACGATACAAATGTGCTGTGCATTTACACTTGCGGCAGTGACGGGCAAGATGTCCACCGGATTTGCTGCTCATATCGAAGAAGTGCTCCTGTACTCTTACAATGAGGCATCGGCCCATCTGGCCGATGTACTCTATACCGCATCCATAGAGTTTCCTAAGTATACTCTAGAGGGAACTCTGCCACTAGCGTCTATGCACAAACAATACCTGGATTCTGGTACAAACAAGTACAAGGATTCTGAATCCGGGAGATTTCAGCAGCGGGGGGAGGGGAAGCTGCTGAATTATTTGCTACTATTTTTTTCGGCACCAAAAAAAAACCCCAAGGACAAACAAACAAAAAAACATCGCGAAAAACAAGAGGGATTAGGGAGTCTCAATCACAAGTGCAAACAACGGCGTTGCGGTCAGCTTGGAGTGGCTGAACACACGAAGGTAGGGTTTCCCACCAAGGTGAGAGTCTCAAAGGATCAACACAACAAGCAGAATTAATTTCTTTCAAAACAGCTCGTGTATCTAGGACACACATGAACGGACGGGACGGCGCAGTTGGCTGCCGCAAAAGCGCGTGTCAAAGCTTTGCTCCCTACTAGATTCTTTTTCAGGAACGCCAAAACGCGTCTGGCCCCTTTGTTATTGACAGTCTAGGCTGGTGTTTTGCTGTCGCCACCACCGCCGTCATTCACCGTATATGTATGTGTCGCATTAACAAGGTGATTCTAGGAGAAGCCGATGAAGACGAAGTGCGCGTGCATTAGAATAAACGTATGGCATCTGGACCACGACGTGTCTCCATTTTGAAGCATCACACAAGTCAACAGGATCGACCTCATCAACGTGCCATGGCTAGGCCAAAGCCTCCGCTCAACATACAGAAGTTCAAGGGAACGCCAGAACACGTCCCCATCGAAAAGTGGCTTCTTATTTTCGACATGAAGGCAGCCGAGGCGTCATAGACTCACCGCGATCGGGTCAGTCACTTCAGTGAATACATTGAAGGGGAAGCGTTCAAGTGGTACCTGACAGAGATTTTCGGCAACGGCGAGACGACTTGGAATGATATCAAGCACAACATGCAAGCCTGCTTTGCTACGACTGACGGAGATGCCTTCCGTCTCTTCATTCACTACCGACTGAAAGGAGGGCAGACCATCAAGGACTACTACGACGAGAAAAAGCGACAGGGTTCCTTGGCTGACCTGAAAGAGTGCCCCATCATTTCTGGCATGACTGATGATGTTCCTCCTGATGTGAAACTAGCGCTTGCCGGACTGTCTTTCAACTCGTCATTAGAGTGGCTCACCGCTGCTCAACGGGTCGAGACATCTTTAAAACGGGTGAGAAGAGTTCCCTTTACTCGTAACGCTAGTATCGGATCAAGAGCTCTACATCTCTTTAGCAGACCGCAGCAGCCAACAATAACTCCTCAACCGCGTGCCCCGCAAAACGAATGTAGATACTGCTCAGCTGCTGGTTTCCCACGACAGTTTCACTGGCACAACGAATGTCCGCGCCGCGGCAATGTGTCCGCTATTCATACTGAACGGGGAAACGAGGAGGGCGACCCAGAACTTCATTAATACACTTAAGTGCTCTCATCAACGGAAAGCCATAAATGCAATTCTCGATACAGAAGCAACAATTACTTGTATCAGCGAAGATGTGTACAAACAGCTAAAACTTCATTTGATGAGAGACTCCAACATCATGGTCCAGCAAGTTGCATCAAGCATTTGAACTTTGGGTCGCGTAAACATTCAGTTACAAATTGGGAACGTCACAAAGAAAGTTTATGCATATGTGCTGCAAGGCATGAGAACGCGATAAATTCTTGGCCTAGACAGCGCTTCGTACTTCAATCTCTCTGTAAATCTGGAAAGCAAGTCAGTGACAAAAGCACGTGAGAATATGAACCTTCCGCATCACAATGAAAAAAAAAAACCATTCAAGCTCCGCTGATGCGAACCCTGAATTCAGAAAGCTTATCAGAGCATGAGTCTGCGGCGCTCAACTCTCTTTTAAGCAAGTATGACGAGATATTTTCGAAATCTCAAGACAGATATTGGGTGCATCACTACTGAGAAACATAGGATCGCACTTACCAATGCTGTCCCTATTCGTCAAGCACCATACCGATATTCACAGGCAGGCAAAGTGGAGATCAACAAACAAGTTGACGCTCTCCTCAAGCAAGATGTTGTGAGGCCTTCATTATCGCCCTACGTTGCAGCTGTCATTTTCGCAGAAAAGAAAGGTGAAGAACGCATTCGTCTATGTATTTACTACCGGAAACTCAATACCATAACGGAACCCGACTTTCAACCAATTCCACGTATAGATGATATTCTTGACCACTTGGGAAAGGCGGAGTTTTTCACTTCGTTCGACAAAACGTCGGGATACTGGCATGTCCAAATGCATCCTGACGATGTTCAGAAAACTAAATTTGTCACGCCTGATGGTCATTTTGAGTGGTTGGTAATGCCGTTTGGATTGAAGAACGCTCCGGCTACATTTGAAACGGCCATAAGATCAATAGTAGCGAAACATCAGCTCACCAATGTTAGTAATTACTTTGACGATGTGGTCGTATACTCAGAGACATTTGATGATCATATACGACACCTTTAGGCGCTATTGAAAGCTCTCAAAACCGAGAACGTAAATCTGAAAAAAAAAGTGCAAATTTGCGCGCTGCAGCATTGAATACCTGGGCCACAAAATTTGACAAGGAACAGTGACACCTAAGCAAAGTAATGTGGCTGCCATACTCAAATTCCCGACACCAAAACGAGAAAAAGATCTCCAGCGTTTTCTGGGCACTGTAAACACCTACCGTCAGTACATACCCCACTTCAGCGATATCGCTCTTCCACTCACAAAACTACTCCACAAAGGCAGCAAGTGGGTGTGGACAGAAGCATGCGAGCAAGCCTTTCGTGAACTGAAGGAGCGGATAACTGAAGAACCAGTGCTTCGCATATACGACCCTTCGAGACAATGTACTGTGTGCTGTGACGCATCTGGCGAAGGCATCGGTGCAGTGCTGAAACAACCTGATGAAAAAGGCAAAGAACATCCTGTTGCCTACTATTCCCGCAAACTACTTAAGCCCGAGGTGAACTATGCTATTACAGAAAGAGAATGTCTTGCCATTCTAGATGCCATTGATAAATGGCATTGCTACCTTCATGGAAAGTCATTCACTGTTGTAACAGATCACTCTGCACTCCAGTGACTGAAGAATGTTAAAGATCCTCTTCCAGTGGCTTCTTTCGTCTCTTCCGGTGGTCTTTGAAACTGTCAATGTATGATGTGAACATCAAACATCAAAAGGGCGCAAGTAATGTCGAAACAGATGCGCTCTCCAGAGCAGCAATAGTTAATCTTCTGTCACACGACAACCTTCAGCTATGCAACAATGAGCGTCCAAAAGGAACGCATTGATTGGAAAATAACATCATCATCGACAAAAGAAAAGGACTACGGAAAATATACGTGCCCCATGAACTATGCCCAACCATTCTGAAGAATGCACATCAACATTTTGGGATGCATTGTGCACATCAACATTTTGGGCATGTCGGAGAGAAGAAGACGCTATCACTCCTGTCTCCGCAATATTAATGGCCGCATATGGTAACTGATGTTTCCACTTACATTCGGCATTGTGATGCATGCCAGAGATGCAAGAAGACGAAAACAAAAAAGTTTGGGACGCTTCAATCACTGCCTCCAGCTGAAGAGCCCTTCGACCTCTTTGCAATAGACACCATTGGAGGATTTCCTGGATATGGCTCGTCAAAAAGGTTTATACACTTGGTTATTGATCATGCGACTCACTACGTATGAGCGTTTGCTCATAAAAGTGAGAACAGCGACGCCTACATTTCATGCATAAAAACAATTTTTTCTTCTGGAAAGCCACGGAA